GAAGGCCAGTAAAGCATCAATAGTCATCAAGAGAAGACAGGGAAGGCCAGTAAAGCATCAATAGTCAGCAAGAGAAGACAGGGAAGGCCAGTAAAGCATCAATAGTCGGCAAGAGAAGACAGGGAAGGCCAGTAAAGCATCATTAGTCGGCAAGAGAAGACGGGGAAGGCCAGTAAAGCATCAGTAGTCGGCAAGAGAAGACGGGGAAGGCCAGTAAAGCATCAGTAGTCGGCAAGAGAAGACGGGGAAGGCCAGTAAAGCATCAATAGTCAGCAAGAGAAGACAGGGAAGGCCAGTAAAGCATCAATAGTCATCAAGAGAAGACGGGGAAGGCCAGTAAAGCATCAATAGTCATCAAGAGAAGACAGGGAAGGCCAGTAAAGCATTGGAAGGATAAGTGTAAAGAAAACATGAATGGGAAAGGAATTGCAGAAGACCCGGCAATGAACAAAGATTATTAGAGGAGGACAACACGTGTGAAGGACAGCAAAACTTGCTTCAGGGAAAAGCTGAAGAAGAAGAAAAAAAAAAGTAGGCCACTTTAAATCTGGCAGTACATCAAGAAAATTTTAGAATAGTTTCTTTTAAACACTATTATAAATCAAGTTTAACTGCATGCTCAATTTTTCACAAACGGCTTGTAGAACAGATAAGTAATAAACAACTAATTATATTACTCTCTTAGAATTCTTTTTCTGTGAAGTAGTTTCAGTTCACATAATTTTGTAGTCAGTGTAGGTCTGTACTTTACTAAGGTGAGTAACAAATGTCCAAACGTTGGATTGTAAATGAAAGGTTCCGCTCAACATATTTTTTTTTTTAATTTGTATACTATGTGAATAGTACCAGAGCCCCAACAATTTTCTGTCAATAATCTTTCTTCCTAACCTTACTGAATGGCTGTTTATAATTCCCAATCTACCCAATTTGTCGATAGTAGAGATGCCCACAAATCAAGACGGATTTGTTCTTTCCTCCTCTTCGTGACTTCTCATGAATAGCCTTGTAACTATTTAGTGTAATGACCTTGTAAAGTTAGGAATTCTTGGGTCATGTTTGTGCACGTGGGTCAAGATAACTCCCTTGCGGTTAAAAAATTAACTGTCAGGCATAAGTTACTCTAAGGTTCTGCATGATAAAGATACCTGGTTGACACTACCGTATTTTAGCAGTAAAGTCAGAACAAAAAACAACCTTCACCTTCAGAATTTACTGATGCATACTTAATATTATAAATATGTAATATCCATATCTTTTAAGTTCTTGTACTACTAGCCCTAATGACAAAATAGTACCAGAAATTAAAATTTATCTGAAGAGTGTAGGTCGTTTTTTTTTATTACCTTAATGTCCAAAGCCTTCCAGTATGGGCCCGGCATGGCCAAGTGGTTAGGGTGCTTGATTCGCAATCTGTGGGTTGTGGGTTCGAATCCCCATCACACCAAACATGCTTGCGCTTTCAGCCGTGGGGCGTTATAATGTGATGGTCAATCTCACTATTTGTTGGTAAAAGAGTAGCCCAAGAGTTGGCGATGATGACTAGCTGCCTTCCCTCTAGTCTTACACTGCTAAATTAGGGACAGCTAGCGCCGATAGCCCTCGTGTAGCTTTGCGCAAAATCCGTAACAAACAAACAAACCTTTCAGTATGCACTAGAAATTTTGAAAAACAACAAAATTTGCACTATTATAGTTTACTCTGTATGACAATACGAAAAGTAAGTACTGTAATATTAATAATACTATAATGTACTGTTTTGTTGAACATGTATCACTTTTATTTATCATAAAATGTTTTAGCTTAGAGAATATTTCACACGATCACTATCCCTGTTATCAGTATATGTAAATCAACTATTTCTCATGGCCACCTATCTTGATTCCTTAGAACATCCAGGACATGGATGAGCGAAGAATATCGTGTTTCCAGAATTTTCTCAAACAATTTGCAGATATTCAAAAGCAGGTGATTCCAATTATCAATAAGTGTTTGGAGGGAATTGTTGTAGCAGCAAAAACCGTTGATGCAAAACAGGTGAATATTTTTATGATAAAATCAAACATTACATGTTGCATAAAGATGTGAAGTGCCTATAGTTAGACATGGGTGCTTACAGACATTTAGGGGGGGGGGGCAAAATATGTATGTAGGGGATTAGCCTTTACAGTGTAAGTCAAAATCATAATACATGCAATTTTATGTGAAATGTAAGGGGAGGCAAGCACCTCCTCTACCCCCTTCCTGTGGGCACCCATGCAGTTAGAAATTTTCAAGACTTTTGTAAAAAGGTCATTGTCCTGTTGAAGGTCAATGGTTAGTTTATAACTGTCACAACTTTTAAAATGTTATATAGATATATACATACATTTGTATTTATATATATGTATATATCCTCAACAAGATTTACTAAATAATATTAAAGGTTATTCAAATTTCCATCTTTAGAACCATGTAGAACTTTCAATCTCCTAAATATATTGAAATTTTTCTTCATACACAACTGGTAATTAGATTAACCTTATTAATTACAAACAAATGAAATGTGCTAAAGAAAATTACCTAGGCCTGTCAATTAAAGATTGTGCCTCCCACCTTCCTTCTAAAAAACTTAAGTGATGTCACTTACTGAAACTGAAAACTTTGGTCACTAATTGCATTGGTCATAAAATGTTACATTTTAGTGCTCCAAGTTTATCAATGCAAAATCTGGTCTTATCATGCTTAAGGTTTTTGGTATGGTATTTTTAGTTATTTGCCATGTAGAATTTTCACACAGGTTTAACCCTTTGACTGTGGCTGCTTTAAATACATGTGAAATTTTTGTGAGCCATACAATATATAAAGCACACTTACATTCAACTGCCAGAGGTGGACCATACTCTATACGGCGAATCAGCAGTCAATGGGGTAACGCTACGGTTTTGTGAATATGCAAATTAACTGGCAACGGTAATGAAATTGCACAGAAAACCGTGTCTCTACATTACATATATAGTAGTAGCCCTACACTACGTATATAGTTGTAGCCGTACATTACGTATATAGTAGTAGCCCTACATTACGTATATAGTTGTAGCCGTACATTACGTATATAGTAGTAGCCCTACACTACGTATATAGTTGTAGCCGTACATTACGTATATAGTAGTAGCCCTACACTACGTATATAGTTGTAGCCCTACACTACGTATATAGTTGTAGCCGTACATTACGTATATAGTAGTAGCCCTACACTACGTATATAGTTGTAGCCGTACATTACGTATATAGTTGTAGCCAAACACTACGTATATAGTAGTAGCCCCTACAGTACGTATGTAGTAGTAGCCCTACACTACGTATATAGTAGTAGTCCTACAGTACGTATATAGTAGTAGCCCCTACAGTACGTATATAGTAGTAGTCCTACAGTACGTATATAGTTGTAGCCCTACATTACGTATATAGTTGTAGCCCTACATTACGTATATAGTTGTAGCCCTACAGTACGTATATAGTAGTAGTCCTACAGTACGTATATAGTTGTAGCCCTACATTACGTATATAGTTGTAGCCCTACACTACATATATAGTTAGTTGTAGCTCTACATTACGTATTTGTTGTAGCCCTACATTACGTATATAGTTGTAGCCAAACACTACGTATATAGTAGTAGCTCTACAGTACGTATATAGTAGTAGTCCTACAGTACGTATATAGTTGTAGCCCTACATTACGTATATAGTTGTAGTCAAACGTTACGTATATAGTAGTAGCCCTACACTACGTATATAGTTGTAACTCTACACTACGTATATAGTAGTAACCCTACAGTACGTATGTAGTTGTAGCCCTACACTACGTATATAGTAGTAGCCCTACACTACGTATATAGTTGTAGCCCTACATTACGTATATAGTAGTAGCCCTACATTACGTATATAGTTGTAGCTCTACATTACGTATATAGTAGTAGCCCTACATTACGTATATAGTAGTAGCCCTACATTACGTATATAGTAGTAGCCCTACATTACGTATATAGTTGTAGCCCTACATTACGTATATAGTATTAGCCCTACACTACGTATATAGTGTAGTCCTACACTACGTATATAGTGGTAGCCCTACACTACGTATATAGTGGTAGCCCTACATTACGTATATAGTTGTAGCCCTACATTACGTATATAGTGGTAGCCCTGCATGGTTGTATTTTTGTAATTATTAAATTTTAAAATAGTAAAGATAATTTTGGAGCAACCTGTATTTAAAAAATACAAACCATTAGGTTTTGCATTATCTTATAATCCTCCTGTTTTTAGTGCTGAAATTCAGGATTGCTCAAAATAATTACCCCTAAAAAAAATAAAATCACAGATAGATTGTTGTAGAAGATGCTCACCCAAAGTTTCTACACTTTCATTCTCATTGTATAGTAAAAATAATATTAAGAAACGACCACAGGGGTTGAAACTGTTATAATAATTTGTTCTACTTAAATAGTTATAATAGAGGCTGCAGTTTCTCTTGTAAACATGAAGTATGTGAGTGTACCAGTTACTAGATAGATAATGGTTGTGTGCGTGACCTTTGAAAAATTGTTTTTACTGTTAAAGGTTTTGATTTGTTTAATGTGAACTTAATTGTAACAACCAATGCATTATGTTTGACAAGGACTCAAAACTAGTCATCGAAAGGTTCAAGACTGGATTTTCTCCACCAGAAGATTTACCCTTTGAAGATCTCAGTAACATTAAAAGTACTGAAAACAATACAAATTCTCAACAAATACCTACTGTAAAAGTTGAAACAGTAAGAGGCTCTGTGTCGTCAGGAAAGCCAAAGAAACGCCACGGACTGTTTGGGATATTTGTTTCTAAGGTAAATACATAAATAATATACAAGATAATTTGGAATACTACCTTAGTTCTCAATTAAAGACTGGTGAGAATTAATGTGTTTTATTATGTGTATATTTTACATATGTCTTAACTTGTATTCTAACTTATCAGTAGATTGGTTTTAAAGTATGTCACAGTGAGGCTAATTTGCCAGTAGACTTGTATCTTGATAACATTGTATCACAATATGCCAGTGATGATTCTAATATTTTAATGGACATGTTGATAGTGTTATTTTACATGACAAAAGTAATGCTAACTATTCAGTATACTGGTTTATATGTTGATAACATTGTATCACAATATGCCAGTGATGATTCTAACTATAGACTGATTTATAAGTTGATTAACTGTTTTAAAATATGCCAACAGTGAATTTCAGTAGACCGTATTATATCTCAATAGTATTGTTTTATGGCATGATTGTTATAATGGTTACTTTCTGTAGACTGTTTTACATTTTAATAACGTTTTATGGCATGTTAATGATGATGGTAAGTTTCAATAGAATGTTTTATATCTTGATAGTAGTTTATTACAGCATGCTAGTTACAGTGACACATTAAGACGCAGGTGGGCCCTGTACGAAGTATAAACTATTGCCCTCATACTTTCCTTTGGTTTTAAAAATATACCATACAATTTGATAAACTGAATTTTTCAGTAATGAAAAAAAGAAAAATATATATTTCTTAAAAAAAGTAGTTTATTATTGTTATTTTATTATACACTTCATATTTTATTATTTATTTTTATCCACACAGTGTACAGTGGACCCCTGGGCAACTGTCCTTTTTACCCTTTGGATAAAACAGCCCTGGCTAGTTATAGTGGATACTTTCCATAGACTGTTTAATATCCTGTAGTGGATACTTTCCATAAACTGTCTAATATCCTGACAACATTGTTTTTTGACATGTTAGTGAGGAAATTAAGTTTCAGTAGAGTGTTTTATATTACAGCATGCTAGTGATGATTATAAAGATGACTTTAGTGACTTACCTCCAGCACAACGAAAAAAGAAACTTCAACAAAAAGTTGACCAGATCCAAGTAGCTTTGCAGCAAGAAAGTGCAGCAAGGTAAAAATTCCATTTTATTATTATGTTAACCAAATATTGTACAAATTTAGCTAATTAATTCATTGTCGGTAACCAGAAACAAGACAAATTAGAAAAACATCATAAGGAAAGTTTAGCACACGAGTTTAATATTACGCATCACATGGAAACTGAGTAGATGAAACATTAACTACAGGTATATTTAAATTGATTCTCTGGCCCGGCATGACCAGGTGTTTAGGGTGAGTTCGAATCCCCGTCCCATCAAACTTGCTCGCTCTTTCAACCATGGGGGCATTATAATGTGACAGTCAATCCCATTATTCATTGGTAAAAGAGTAGCCCAAGAGTTGGCGGTGGGTGGTGCTGACTAGCTGCCTTCCCTCTAGTCTTACACTGCTAAATTAGGGACGGCTAGAGCAGATAGCCCTCGTGTAGCTTTGCACGGAATTCAAACCAAACCAAATTGATTCTCAGTGTTTCAGTCTTCATTTTCTGAACTCCATCAAGAAATATAAGCAAAGCTATGTATGTAATGTGTTTTTTATACAGTTTATACAGTAAAGTTATAAAAGAGTTTTTTATTCAAAATACTTGAACATGTGTACATGGCAGTTATCTTCAAACTTATGTTCACCAGATGTTCGAGAGGTTTAAGCTTGTACTGTGCTGCCATCTGTTGACAGTGATAGATATAAAAGCAGTAATAATGATCTTATGGTATTATTAAGTAAAGAATTACACACACAGGTAAGTCACAACCGCAATAACTTGAGAAAAGCTATGTTCTGACGGTTGAAAAGTGAATCGTTTCAGTGTAGAATCAACAAGTGTTGGAGATGAATGCTAAGATATAAAAGTTAAATAGCTTAGTACGAGGAAGAGAAAAATACAGTTGAACTTGATATAATGCTGTTTAATTGACAGACTATTTTGTAATGGTTAACCCCAAACTGATCTTCTCTGTATGAAGACAAATGGTCCGATAACCAGAATAAGAATGACTCAACTACAACGATTCAAAATACACATATGTCCAATCAGAGAACAAAGAAATTATGCTTCTTTAACATTAGTCAATCAGAAACAAGCTTGCAGTTGACCACTCTGTATTCTTATGGAAAAGTTGGGTTAGCAACATGTGAGGTTGCTTTTCACTAATACCGTAAGTACAAAATGTTAATTAATATTATTTCTTAAAATACTATACTCAAACCCATATAGACTGATGATGAAAACATATTTGTGGTGGTTGTTAGGGACGGATTGTTGAAGATGAAGCAGGTTTACGAAACCAATCGGGGATTGGGTGATCCTGAAAGTGTTGAAGGACAATTGTACGAACAGGAACAAAAGCTTGACAATCTTCAGGCAGAACTTCAGAAGTACCAGGTTAGCCTTGAAGTTTAAATAATTCTCGTGTTAAAAACAAACGTTTTGCACTGTAACTTCAACTAGGAAAATATTACAGTCAAAACTCCGCCTTTGTGATGTACACAAAATTATTGATTACATTTAAGATGTTACTTGTTTACAGATATTTGATGCTCACAACTATAGACTATAGTTTTATGTGCACAGTTATCGGAACAGATTTTTTTGAACCTTTGAATTATAGATTGTCGATGATTTATTGGAATAATGCTTGGAGACGGCTTGAATGGGTAATGAAGAAAAACTTTAATATAAGTTTAACATAACAGCAAATGTACAACGTTTCGACAAGGTTTTGTCGTCATCAGGTACAGTTTTTCTTCATTACCCATTCAGGCCGTCTCCAAGCATTATTAGTCTCAAAGTGGGTTCCTCTTCATCGAATGTTTTTTTCAACCACTGTTAGAAATAATTATCTTAGGCCTTTAATTTTTGATATATGGAAATTACTTTTTAGTTCAAGTAATAGTTTTGAAAGCATTTCTAATTTGATATAATATGCTCTTGATTTTAGGGCTATCTTGCAGATGCCGATATCTCAACACTCACACCTGTTGTTCAGAAGAAAGTACATAATTCTCTGAACTTGTCAGATAACGCTTTATCAAGAAGTGCATCAGAGTCGTGTGTTATCAATGCTAAAAATTTCAAAATTTCAACACCGGAGACTTCTCATGGGTTAGTGTGATTTGATGGTTTAAGTATTTTGGTATCTAGAGGTAAACTTAGTGCGTAAGAAAAATAAATATATTTTCTGTAATAATAGTAAGCTTATTCTGTCCAAGTGCGAGTTCTTGGCTCGACATCTTATCATCAAACCCACTTCGTCTTCCACTACTTTTTGTATCATCTTATGATTCCTGACTCTCACTTCATCTAGCAACGATTTTCTGTTTTTTACCCATGTGTATGTTTTTATAAACAAGATATATTTGATGGAACTGTTCTTATGTGTTTTACCAGATGAAAAACAGAGTGAGTACCTTTTTTAAAATCAACACTCAACAAAGTCAACGAACATAAATGACTTGAGAGTCATGATGTGGGAGTATTTTAACACTAAGTAAAACTAGAACATGTGTTACATAAAGATAGTCTTTGAACTCTTGATGTTAAAACTAATGAACTCTAAATAGTGTGGAAAATACAAGCTTCAGTCAAGAAAAATGTAGTTATAATGTGACTAACTAAATTTTTAAAAGGAACACTTATTAATTTTTCACACAATTGTGAGATGTTTGGGAACAGTTCTCAACTGCATTCAAGTTTAATTGGTGCCAGCATTTTTGGTATTAAAATAAACCTTTTGTACAAACATAGTTTCATAACCAAGTTGATATATTTTATCAAGTTTAAGAGAACGTAAATAAAACATTTTGTGAGCACTTTAACTTGGATAGTTAGCAGCTGTATGTTCTTCTGTTATGTTAGTAAATGTGATGAAACTGATACAGCCTCTCTACTTAGAACTTGTGTCACCTTTTAAAAGCATCTCTGTACCGAGTCATTTCTCTAATAACAAGAATTTCATTCAATTGTAATTTTTTTGTGGGTAAAACTCTTAACCTTTATAATTACTTTGTTTTAAATAGATGCATTATTTAACCATATAGTTTGAAACTTAGTGAATAACTGAGACAGTAATAAGTTAGATGATTATACAAGTTATGGGAACTGTTTGGTTAGTTCTTACCACAGCCAGGATGATATAAATAGTGACATGACAGTCCAGCCCAATGAAGACATCTATGCTAGCCCTGATCCAGAGTTTGAAAACATAGATGACTTTGACGACGCCAATAATGTTCCGTTACCTCCCATAGGAACTGCTAAAGCTCTCTATGCTTTCGATGGTAAGAATAACACATCTGAATTTATTATTAGTTATAGTACTGACTGTTTTTACAATTTTTACTGTCTTGAGAAATATTTTTAATACCTTTTTATTATTTTCAGTGCGACATTTACTTATTTTTAATTTAAGATATTTCCTGATTCATTCTGTTTACATTTTTTCAATTTTACTTTGTTGTCTGTTTATGTCAAGTTTTATTTTATAGCTTACATTTGTACCATCTACTGACTGTTTATACTACGTGTATAATATTATTTATTTGGCAATATACGTCTTCAGATTTACCACATATTAAGATTACCAAAACAAACGATCAGTTAAACTCAGCTTTCTGAGTATGTATAATGCTGAACATCTGGTTTTTAATGGTGTCATTGGGTATGATTTCCAAGTCATTTTGAAATAAGAGAACATAAGGTATGATGCTCTAATTAATTTATACACTACATTTATGGATCATTCTGTTTAAAATTAATAACACTATAATTTTTATGATTATTACTACTAATTAGAAAAGGAATATAAAAGTTGATAAAAATCAGTGTGTTTTCTTATACATTTGTTTTTTAATCAAGGATAATAATGCACTTGTAATTTCTAAGCAAATATAATAAATAGTTTCATTAGATGAGTGTTTCATGTGCAGTATGTTTTAGCCCATCCGGTTAATGTATTTTTCTGTCAGTGCTAAGTTCGTAAATTTTGATATTTAAAACAAATGACATTAAAGGATTATCATTATAAAATTTGAAATTAAACATACCAGTCCTTAAACATCAACCAAGTGATTGGACGGGTTAATTCGCTTTGAGTAGCGTCTGTTTAAGATAATCAAACGGAAAGTCTGTGATAAGTATATTGTGTGTTCCAAACACGGTTGTCTAATGTTTGTTGTGAAGGGACTTGATTCATGTTTCCTCTTTATCTGGCTGTATAACAGGGCAAAGTGAAGGATCAGTGTGGATGGAAGAAAACGAAGATCTTCTAGTCATTGAAGTTGACCAGGGCGATGGATGGACAAGGGTCCGTAAAAACACTTCAGAAGAAGGATTTGTTCCCACGTCGTATATTGAAACTTCCATCAATCAGAGTGACTGCTAATGTAAGAGTTTTTGTAGCTAACGTGGTAAAACTGTTACCATCAGAATGATATCTTAAGAAGTTTTTGTAGCTAACATGCTAAAACTGTTACCATCAGAATGATATCTTAAGAAGTTTTTGTAGCTAACATCGTAAAACTGTTACCATCAGAATGATATCTCAGGAAGGTTTAGCAAGAGTTTTTGTAGCTAACATGGTAAAACTGTTACCATCAGAATGATATCTTAAGAAGTTTTTGTAGCTAACATGCTAAAACTGTTACCATCAGAATGATATCTTAAGAAGTTTTTGTAGCTAACATGGTAAAACTGTTACCATCAGAATGATATCTTGGGAAGATTTAGTAAGAGTTTTTGTAGCTAACATGGTAAAACTGTTACCATCAGAATGATATCTCAAGAAGATTTAGTAAGAGTTTTTGAAGCTAACATGGTAAAACTGTTACCATCAGAATGATATCTTAAGAAGGTTTAGCAAGAGTTTTTGTAGCTAACATCGTAAAACTGTTACCATCAGAATGATATCTCAGGAAGATTTAGTAAGAGTTTTTTTAGCTAACATGGTAAAATTGTTACCATCAGAATGATATCTTGGGAAGGTTTAGCAAGTTTTTGTAGCTAACGTGGTAAAACTGTTACCATCAGAATGATATCTCGGGAAGGTTTAGTAAGAGTTTTTGTAGCTAACATGGTAAAACTGTTACCATCAGAATGATATCTCAAGAAGGTTTAACAAGTTTTTGTAGCTAACATCGTAAAACTGTTACCATCAGAATGATATCTTAAGAAGGTTTAGCAAGAGTTTTTGTAGCTAACGTGGTAAAACTGTTACCATCAGAATGATATCTCAAGAAGGTTTAGCAAGAGTTTTGTAGCTAACATGGTAAAACTGTTACCATCAGAATGACATCTCAGGAAGATATAGTAAGAGTTTTTGTAGCTAACATGGTAAAACTGTTACCATCAGAATGACATCTCAGGAAGATATAGTAAGAGTTTTTGTAGCTAACATGGTAAAACTGTTACCATCAGAATGATATCTCAGGAAGATTTAGTAAGAGGTTTTGTAGCTAACATGGTAAAACTGTTACCATCAGAATGATATATCGGGAAGGTTTAGTCTTTTATATGGACAAAATGGTACTTTTCAGTTAGTGGTTCAAAATATCAGTGAGTAAAATTACAAAGATCTCTAGAGTTAATTTATTTTTTGTTAGGATTTTCAAGTTATTTTGTTCTTGAAAAAAAAGGACCACGAATACAACTGTGACAAAATAAGAACAGACCTTTTTATACCTATTGACAACATATTCATGTAACAGAAAACATTGAAGTTACATTTGTTACTAAATACGTTTGACTACAGCACCATACCTGTAACAAAATTAGTATATATATATATATATATTTCAGAGTAAAAGGTAACTTTGAATCAATATTTCTTGAACTTGTTCAGTCAGTACAGTACACCACCAATTTTTTGGCAACTCATGGTGGTCCGGCACCTCCTTTAATCCGGACAAACTTACAAGAGCGCACTTGAAATTCCCGCGACCGCCAGACTACTACACTGGCTGGCCACAGATGGCATTGCGTGTGGCGTGCGCTCTTTCGGAATGGGCTACTTACATTTTAAGTAGGTACGTCACTCTCGTGAAAATTTTCTGATAAATATTAAACTAGTGGATCAAATTACTTGAATTTTTTTTTCATGAATGTTGCTAAGAATATGTAGTTTAACGAGATACAATAATTTAGTGTCGATTTTTTCTTCATTTTTTTATAACACACAATGTTGATAATAGTGTATGAAAATTCAATATATATAACGTACTTGAAAATAACAATAATAATAACAGTAAAATTCTAAAATTGACCACTTCGTAAGCAGTACTACTGCAACATTCTTTGTAAGTACAGAAATTAATAAACCTGTATCATTTATACCTGTACTAATGTATTTCATTAACCATTTAATATTTGTTTTATTTAAGTTTCTAGCAGTCCATGATGCTTTAGAGACACGGGAAGGATAAAATTATTGAGTCAGAGGTGTATTGTTGAATTATTATTACGTGACCCCTGTTGGTCCGGCAAGGCTCTGGAACCAAGGGTGCCGGAAAATCGGTGGTGTACCTGTATACAAATTTTGTGTGATTATCGTTAAGTGAGTCATTTGTATACTTTTGCTAACGATAATATTTAGACTTAGCCATTTTGTAGTCAGTCATGTACAAAGTTTTCACAGTGTCAGTCTACGTAGTGGTCTTCAGTTGTGCCTGCTTGCATCAGACCTTCAAATGGTATGAGCTTTTTCTTCTCATGCAATATTTAATCATCTTAACTCCCCCATTTCTTCAGACAAAAACTGGCTATCTTTTAACCCTACAATTATGGTCCTCATCAGCTTTTTAAGTACATTTTTTATGCACCAGATTGCTTGCGAGTCTACAAGTTTGTTGTTTACAAGGTCCTTAATAATTCCCGAATCACACATCAGCAGGGCATTTAATTACAGTTGTTTTGGTCAGTTTTGTATGACTCAACATAGTGTAGATGTTGACCACACTGGTGATAGACTCTTAAAAAAGACAAGTAGGTAATGTAATAGTTAAATCATTCCAACAATTATGAAACAATCTAAACTTATTTTTCATAGATAATATTTTCTATAGCTGCCTAAAGCATCATTCCAACAATTAAAAATAAGTTTAGATTGTTTCATTATTATTTATGGATGCTTTAGGCAGCTATAGAAAAAATTGTTGGAATAAAAATAAGTTTAGATTGTTTCATTATTATTTATGGATGCTTTAGGCAGCTATAGAAAATTGCTCGTATTGAAGAATGAGTTACGAGTATGATAGAACTGTGCTCTAAAGTTTGAAATTTTATAACAACGACAGTCACGTTGCACCTTGTACGGCATGACCTTTAATCATTAGGTATTCCGAGTCGTGTTTAACTTGTGATGCAAGACAAACTCTTTATAAACTTCAACAGCAAGTGTATGTTTCTATTTATTTTTTCTTGTTTCCAAGGGAACATATTTACATAAATTATTAAATAAATTCCTCATTTTACATTTCATGTAATATAATATTTCTAAATAAAAATGAAAGGTGGAAAATGAATGTGCCATTGTCATATATGTATCTTTTTGTTTTCAATACAAAGTAATTTCTTTGAATTTATACAAGGTTTGCTTCACATAATTTTTATACCTTATTTTTCTTCTACTATATTAACAGCTCAAAGACAGCGTTTTAATTTCTTTGAATTTTTTAAAACAAAACAAAATGTTTAGTGATTAGCATGGCTAGACTAGGAATCGGAAAGTGCAAGCTTCAAATCTGTATCCCTCTTGGTGGGTCAGCAGTAAGTCTGAGGGCTTATAACACTAAAAATTGGGTTTCGATACTCTTGGTGAGAAGAGCATAGGTACCAAGTTCACGATACACTGACATATGCACACAGCACTTTCAGTTGTGAGAGTATTTTAGATGTATCGGTCAATCCCGCTATTTAGTTAAAACACGAAGGAGGAGATCCTGACTTCCATCTGGTCAGTGGATCTAAATAAGGGATGGCTGTGCCTGTCTCTGGAATGTGGTCCAGTGACTTAAACGACACTTGTTGCACTTTTAATACATTGTATTACACCATGTTTAGTGTCACCAAAATTCTCAGCATTTTCTTCAACTGTTTACAATATTTGTCATTGACATACTTGCTTCTGAAACTTCAACAGCACTTTTCAAAGAGTAATTAATTTTAGGCTTATCTATAAATACTCCAAGCATGCTATGAATATGATAAGAGGGTATGTTTAAGCTACCTAACTATCCCCAGTTGTGAATATTAGTGTAGTGAGTTGAATTCGGCCTTTTTATTAACCTCCGGTTCCATTCTGTTATTATATAAACGTAAATTCTATAGGTATTTTATTTGAGATTTGTACCTAATTATCTGGTGTAACCAGTGTTGCAACCTACAGGCAATAAAATTACACTCGTGAATTGTTCATTACAAAAGTAAGTTATTCTAATTTCATGTGCAAGTGAAGATTAAAGAATTCCAACAACTGTGTCTGGTGTTTTCATTAATACATCAAAGGATGGATTCCAAAAGATGATTTTTTTTTAAATTAAGAAACATGATGTGTACATGAACTGTTGTACATACATTCTGAGCTGTTTGTCCATCAGTGGGTCTGCGGCAAGTTTACGGACCAAAAAAGTCTGGGGTTTGATTCCAAGCAGTGGGTTGAACACGGTTAACCTATTGCGTAAACATGCTAAACTGTGGTAATAGCATGGCAAACTGGAGTTTAGCCATTGCATTTTGTAATGGAAAAGTTTCAACACTGGTAATTTTTACTGTTGTGTCTTATAAGGATGACGAGTGTGTGAGTGACTTCTGAAACACTGGAAGAAAATGTCAGTAAAGTGGTTCTCAACCTTATTAACATCAAGGTCTGGTAAATGCCTTGTAAAATATCATATGGGCCATTCAAAATAGAAGCTATCTTTTTCACTCTACAGAGGGGCAAAAGTTTTGGAAAAATCTTAGACCATTTGAAGTATGGGCTACCTTTAATTATAAAAATATTTATTTAGAAATAATTATACGTATTTTTATTATCAGTCATATATCCCCCTCTCCCATTGAATGGACCAACACTCAGAAACAACCATGTTAGTATACTGTTTTTCAAACATTTCTGTCACCACCATTGTTGTAAGCCTAACCTACTTTGATCTGGGTACTCTAATTCTTTCTTTTAAGTTTTAATAAGGTTTACTACATTTTTGTCATCACTATTGTTGTAAGCCTAACATACTTTGATGTAGTTACGCTAGTTTTGTTGTCATGAAGTTTCAATAAGGTTTACTACATTTTTATCATCATATTTATTGTTAGCCTAACCTACTTGGATGTGTTTACTCTAGTTTTGATAAGGTTTACAACATGTTTGTCAAACATTTCTATCATCATATTTGTTGTAAGCCTAACCTACTCTGATGTAGTTACGCTAGTTTTGTTTCATGAAGTTTCAATAAGGTTTACTACATTTTTATCAAACATTTCTATCAACATATTTGTTGTAAGCCTAACCGACTTTGATGTAGTTACGCTAGTTTTGTTGTCATGAAGTTTCGATAAGGTTTACTAAATTTTTATCAAACATTTCTATCAACATATTTGTTGTAAGCCTAACCTACTTTGATGTGGTTACTCGTATTTTGTTGTCATTATGTTTTAATCCTAATATTGTCTTCTTTCAGGTGGAATTGTGCAGAGTCTACTAGAACGCACCACCTAGGACTTGTATGTGTATTATCATAGCATCTACAGACCAAGAACAGAAGTTGTTTCTATGAAACAATGTAATTACCGAAAACTGAGGAATTCAATTTGTTGTTCTTTCATCAAGCAGCTGTAATGGCCAGATAAATAATTACCTAATTTTTATGTTCTGCTCTTGTTGATATCGATTCAGATCACCTAACATTATCTTAGGGTCATTGATATATACATACACATACAAAACAATCAACAAAAAAAAAACACTACTCCCTGACTTACAGGTGTAAACTTGTGCTTATGTCCTCTTGTAGTTAGGGTACGTTTCAATCAGTATTTTAACTGAGTATCCAACTAATATTTCTGTGGGTGCTAATCTATTCATGTCAATGCTTTATATTGTGTTTCCTTCAAGTTCAAAGTTTATAGATTTGTATTGAGTTTTATATTGAGCCTATCATATAGTTTATAATTAAAGCACTGTTTGTAAGATTAAATGGGTTTTGTATATCCTAGAGGTATAGTTTTTTGGGCTTGCTTGACCATGTTATGGGATTATAGTCAACTTAGAGTATTGTTTAAAGTGCAATTTATTAATGGTGTTTTAGGTCATTCGAACATTTAATCATATTTTTAGTAATGTATCATGACATAAAAACTAATTTAGGTGGAAAATCTGTTGATTTGATGTGTCCACGTATTGAATTATAATTCTATTCCAGTTTACAAATGAAAATGTTATGAATAAAATAATTTCTATCACAATTCTAAAAAGATAAGTTTATGACAAAAGTACATCGGAATTTTCTTAAATTATTGTACGATTGTTTAAAAAAACGTATCGTTACTTAAGATTTTCTAAAATCAAATTAATTTCATCAAGATAAAGAAATAGGTAATGTTATAACTATCATTGTTGTTAAAGGAAAATACGTTGTTTTATAAATACCAATGCTGGCTATTAACCAAAAAAAAATTGCCGAAAAATTAATTTGGGCTTAAAAATTAGTAGGGTGTGACCGTTTTACATATATTAGCAGTATTAAAAAACTGGTATAGTTTTTAATACAGTTAAAATTATTTCTCATGGTGATATTATTTTATTATATGATAACTGCATTTTCTCTATTTATAATTACAAAAGTGTTATTTCAATTACTGGATAGCTGATCTATGCTGTATATCTATCACATTTTTGTGTAATGTTTTACTTACCATATGATTAGAGTTACATTGTATTTTCTTCTTTAGAGATATCATCATAGCATGATATAACTAGTTGAATAAATATCAAACCAACTATTACATGTTTCTTATTCACTAACGATAAAAAAGTCCAATTTTCGTCACCAGGTATCATAAATGTCTACTTATTGTTTAGTTAACCCTAACTACAAACATTCTAGGTTTATAATGAAGCCTTTTGTAGATAATCTGGTTTTATAGATTTATTTGTTAATAAGAATATTTGTTTGTAATAACTTAAAAAAAATGTCAAACCACGTTTATGCTTATTAATTCTAAAATCAGTGATAGGTTCCTTGTTACTACAACAAACAGACCAGCTTCTTAATCTTGTTTCTCGTGGCTAATCCTAAAATAATTTTGTTGCAAACACTTATTCTGATAATAGTCAGAAACATCCTAAGATATTTTTTTTATAATTGACAACAATTGGAAAGTTCCAATGAGATTTCTCACAATTGATAACATTCAGAAACTTACTAACCGATATCTCGCTATTAATCCAAAAATAAAATACATTTCTATACGTTAATTCTAAAACGAGGCTTATGTAACAACAAAGAAGTTAGGCCTAAGAGTCTTTTGAAAACTGTTACTAGATGTACGAGTTGATTTGAATAGTCCCGAAAAACTGTATTAAATGGCAGTTGTGTATGTTCTTTTTATTTCACAAAGGTAAAAGTATAAAGAATAAAACATTTTTGCAAATTTTCTGAATATATATATTTTTTGAATAGGCTATTACAAGTTTGGTTAAGGTCTCACTGGCCGAGTGTGGTCTAAAGTCACTTCATAGTTGCATGGGTTTTGATTAGTTTATGCTATTACAAATTTGGTTTATTATTGTTTTATAATTATCGTAAACATCACTTTTTTTCATTGATAAATAGTTATAAATTGTCTTTAAAATACTTTGAGGCCCTAAAAAATTAATCTTGTGCTAAAAGACTAAATCAGCTATCTGTAAAAATTGGATCTGAAGAACTACATACCAAAATACATACATAACGATGCACACGGATAACTCGTATCTGCCGTGGATGGTGATCTGCACGTTGCCCATCAGGTGGCATGTGCTTATGTATAAATAGTATTAAGTTTTTTAAATTTTTTGTTTCTCCAATCAAAGAACCTTGTTATACTTATTCTCCAACAATTATTAACCTTATTATACGATTACATTATGACCTATAAACGTTCTACTTGAAACTTAAAAGACAAATTTGTTTAAAGCATCAGAAGAAGTAGCAAGTTTAATTTTTGTGAATACGTTATCAGTTTACTAGTCATACGTGTAGGCTTAAATATAAGATATTTTGCGTTTATTTTCGCCCTATTTTTCAATGTACTATGATGAAAGTTGTATTAAAATATTATATTCATTCATTTAATACGAGGGTGGACTCGCAGTGTACTGAGAAGTCAGTTTTTAAATGTCTGTAAACTATAAGGAAATTAGCTCCTATTTTTGATAGTTTTTTAAACGATGTATAACATTTATATAGTGAATAGTCAATTTCTATTAATAGTGTGAAAACAGTTTGTTCAAAGATATTTTCTCTGAAGTATAGCGTGTTTGACTGATTACAGTTATCATAACTATTCCCATTAGTAGTAGGAATTACAGTGACTTAAAACAAGAAATTAAGTGGATTTCATTAACCAGGAGAGTTTATTATTAATATTTCGCTTTCGCATCGTAAATAGTGTTTAACGTCTAAGAAAGAGAACAGTAAAGTTTTCAGACTTCACCTTACAGAAATCAAGTATCATTTCTACATTTCCAGAACTGGGTGTGGTATAAAACGCATCTCATCCTTATACCTTATCCAAAAATATTCTTAAAACCGACTTTATAAAGTTTATACTGAAGCAGCATTGTTTATGATATATACATGGTGGAATTTGTCTTGTATATTTTTTAATGTATTAAGTTGTGTTTAACATCTGCAAGCGATGGAGAGAAAACCACGCGAATGTTGGTTTTTATGATCTTTAGTCCAGATATAATCAGTATTCTCAAATGGTTAGTTGTGGTGGGGCAGTTTTTTTTTATACGCTGATATGTTCGTTAGTATTTACATTTTTATACTACTGTAAAACTGAAAGCGCTTGTGTGCCTCTTCTGTTGCCGTACATATGTTTTGTGTGTGTGTGTGTATGCAATTTTTTTCTGCTGACTCTCGAAGGATGCTAATATTATCAACAAATATTACCATGATTGAATGATACTTTGGATCTTGTATAATGAAAAACTATAATTTTTCTGAAGAGTTGAATTTGTTTAATGCTAAAGTTATATAAAAGTTTGCGTTTAGCTTTTTTGATAATTTTATTTAATCTTTTTTTTTCACTTTAAAACGTTGATATGGTTATCATATAAAGCCTGTAATTTTTCTGTTATTGGGCTAACTTATTCATCTAGTTGATGTAAAAAAACAACTTAAAAATAAAGGTCGACGACGAAGAAATTGTCAAGGTGTATCATCATTTATGCTAACATTTAAATCTTTGCAGAAAAGAGGCTTATGACAATATAAATACATTACAGAAATCAGTTTTACTTATTTCTAGATTCATTACTTAATGTAAAATAAGTCTTCTATCGTCCAAAGATATTGTAAACAGAGCTACATTAAGTTGTTTAACAGGTGGCTCGGCTGTAAGCTCGACGACTTATAACTCTAAAATTCGGGGTTTTATCCTCGCTGAGGGCTCTGCGCAGAAAAACCAAACAAACGAATTCAAGAAAATCGCCTTGTAATCAAAACCAAAGAAATTAAGTAAACTTAAATGTTAATACCTTGCTTTCGTTTCCTCGTCACGAAAATGTGGGGTACATTAACTGACGGTTGTCAAACGACTTTGGTTCACTTAAGTTTGCAACACACCACATTCCCCCCTCCCCTTTTCCAATGATCTTACCACAGACCGAAGTAACCCTTACAATCGATTTCAAGTCTAACATTACTACACACAACTCAGCGAGGTAACGTTGCCACAGTTTTAAATATCTTTACAATACAAAGGACTCGTTATTTGAATTTACACATGACTTGATGAACTCCAACATTACTGTCTCTGAAAGAAAGCTACTAATCATCAGTGCTTTACCAAACGACTTTGGTAATACTAAGATTTCCGTCAGACCCTAATCACTAGTGGTTTGCCTTTGGTTAAATTAAATCAAAATTAATTAACAAATGACTAAAGTTTCATAACGAAATAATCAGCATTACTGATACTAAAGTGCATAAGGCTTATGAAAATATAGATATTATGTTCGAGAAATTAGATATTACTGGCTCTCAGATTCACTACAGAGGACATCATTGACGTCAGTTTTATGTAATCAAAATTCCTGCGCCATCTATTGAATGGTACCACAAATAAAAATTCCAATCTTTTGCGTATTCAAAAATCAGAGAATTAGAAAAATAACTGTGGTATGTGAAACAACCGTTTTTTTTTAAATAATAGAACACAATTTTAAATAAAAATACTTTCATCATAACAACAACACTGGGACTGTACGTGAGGGTTTGATTATATCTTTATTGATGTAATTTTTAAATGTACAGAGAAATTGGAATTCTTAAAAATACTGTTATTTTTCTATTTATCCCTGCAGTACTTCCCACAAAAAAATCCTTTTTTAGAAAAATGTTCCCTTTTTCTAATTTTTTTTTTCAATGAGATATGAATACTACAGTTAGACAAACATCCGACCGTAGGGTGGCGTTTCTGCTAGTATATATAAACGTAAATTACTGGATGTAGAGCATGTTCCTTATTTTTTAATCTATATTGAGTAAACATTTTGCTTATTCTTTGTCAAGACAGAAAAAGTTACGTATAAGTTATTAATTTTTCATTGTTAGTGAGCTCGAATCGCAATCCTTGGGTCGTAAGTTCGGTTGAGATGGTAATGAATTCATAAATTGAAATGAAATATTAATGGTTTGGGGGCTTTCTTCTTCAATTGGAGTTACCCCCCCCCCTTTTTTTTTCAGGGTTGTCCAGTCTTTCTTGTTAATTCATTTACTAAACGTTAATCAGTTAAAGTTAACAGTTGTTAACCCGGAGAGAAAAAAATCGAAGCTTTTCCGGGGGGGGTATTTAACTGAACGAAGCTAGGGAATGTGGTGGCTAGGGCGCTTGACTTGTAATCTGAGGAACGTGGGTTCGGATCCCCATTCCACCAAACATGCCCTTTCAGCCATGGAGACGTTATAATGTGACGGTCAATCCCACTATTCGTTGGTAAAACGTAGCTCAAGAGTTGGCGGTGGGTGGTGATGACTAACTTCCTTTCTTCTAGTCTTACACTGCTAAATTAGGGATGACTAACGCAGATAGCCCTCGTGTAGCTTTGTGCGAAATTCAAACCAAGAAATCATCATTTTCATGCCTACGACGCCAAACGAACTCGCACAGATACAACTGACCCAGCCTAGCAAAATAAAAAATTTATTTCTTTTTATTTCTCCAATACAATGGTAATACAACATGTGTTAAACGGCCTACGGGTCGCGAGATCTCGGAACGTGACTCGCCCCTGTCAGTCGTGGAGACGCAATGGAACTTTTCTGATTCGTGCATCGCGTTCAAGTGGTCGCGAGATCCCGGAACGTGCTCGCCCTGTCAGTCGTGGAGA